ATTTTAAGGAAAAGAGACCAAAAATGTTCTGAAAAAGGGTGTAAATATGTTTAATTCTGCTGAAAAGTTGGGGATGTCATCATGGGACTCTATTGGCATCGACTTGCTTTGAAACCAGCTTCAAGTGCCATTTGATTTGTTGCATTTGTTTTTGCTATTTCTGCACTGGCTTCATTTTAAGGCTCAACTCCATTTTTCAACAGTTTCCAAGTGTGGCACATTCACTAAAGACACCATCTGGTGTTACTATGACCATGATGGACGTATCATTTGGTGAGTTGGGAGAGCTGCAGATGAGAGATTTTAGCACAGGTTGGTGTTATGGACAGGGTGACAACCCTACTGCATTTTAAAATCCTCCAGAGTGATACATGAGGCCTGAGGTTGTAAAGCTTGGCGTTGTAACTGACTACATTTGGGATGTTTTCAAGGTTAAATGTTAAACACTAGTCTCGCCTTAAGGGGGAACACATGGTAGCGTGGTAACACTAAACTAGAACGGTCATAAAGGAAACTATAACCCATTAGCATTCAGCACAAAAGCACTGCTGTGCCTAAGTGCATCATTAAAGATGTTAGTGTGAGTGTGGAGTCTGACAGACTGAAAGCTTGATTTGACTGTGAACGGTCGCTTTTGAGCCTACAAGTTGAGGCACGCCTGTGAAGAGGAGGTTGTTTCTGTATGACTGCTGGCAGCCTTCTGATGGAGGACTCTGTACGATCTACGCCCAACCCTAAACGATCACTGTAAGCTGATGTAGTTCTTCAAAGCACTTTGTGTAATTGCCACAGGAGTCTGTTCTAAATCATGGCTTTGAAATGATGAGACCTCTTCACTTTCCTCCTCCAATCAACCAGAAAATGGGGACAGAAAATCTACCATGTTTATCTGGGATGATGTGTGAGGCACAGAGCAGGTAGCATGCAAACACTAATTACAGGTTCACTTCTAAGGCAGGAGAGGAGCTTTGTGAGCTGTTTGCCCATTGCTATGAGGAGGTTACTGTTTTCCCTCGCTGCCTTTCTTTTTAACTCTCTCCTATGCAAAGCACTTTGGCATTTTGTTTACAAGTGCTTTAAGCAGTAATCTAGAATATTATGTAATAGAAAACTTCAACTAATTGTGCCACTTGGGCTTGACTCTCAGATGTTGCTGTCAGGGGAATTGTGTACCAGAGCCTTGAAGGAGGGGAGGCTGAGGTGAGGGTAGGAGGAGGTGCAGAGGATGGAAAACACTACATAAAGGCAAAGAGAACTAATGTCAGCTGTTAGCTAAAAGCTGGCGGCTATGCGATGGATGGTTGGCTAGAAAAATGATAACAGTCAAGGTTGTATGCTTTATAGAGTTCACGTGGTTGTGAGCTGTGGTCAGGGATTATATAACTATGCAGCAAATCTTTTTTAAAATGCAAAATTGATTCTTACAAATCATTAAAAAGCTTCTCTGTGATGCATCAGGTTGTTTACTCGTTACTTTTGTTTCCAAGCAGTTTCTTGTGGGTGGTGATGATCTATTCATCCCAAAGGCTTGTTGGGGTTTTATGAGTCATCGTGATGGCTTTATATGATTTGACTTTAGGCAGCAGAGTCAAAAGTGAAATATTAAAAAAAAAGAATAATTTCTTCCCTTATATATTTGAGTGAAGAATAAAGCTGCCATTATTTCATACTAAAAGCTTGCTACCAGACTGCCTTTGGACAAAAATCATCAATTCAACAGCCCATCGCTCTGTACTTTTCTTGTGATTTGTCCAAGACTGGTTTTATTAATGCTGAAGATCGGTCCTAACAGCTGGCTCTATAATGTGTCTTGTTATAATGACTGGAACTGGATCAGTGGTTAGCACGGCTTCCTCACAGCAACAGGATCCTGGATATTTTTTATTTTTTATTTCTCTGGTTACTCCGTTTTGTCCTGGCATTGAGAGTCATGGTGGGTTAGCTCCGAAACCAAGGTTAACCCTGCCTATTTTGGCCAAGGACACTAATTCAATTTGAATTTTGCTTGTAAATAAAGGTTTGAAATATTCTATCCAGTACAACATTTTGCCTGACTGATTTGTTTTTAGGAGATAGTGTGAAAAAAGTACAATGTAATATTAAAAAAGGAATGTATCCATTTTTTAGGATACTTAAAAAGGTACTTTTTGCACATTGAATCTCACCTTTTTTACTAAAAGTCAATAAAAAATGAACAAAATAACAAAAATAAAACAAAAACTGATAATTAACAGCAGATCTGTTGCACATACAGTAGCACACAGTTCTGAAGATCATCACTGTAGTTTAGTTTTATATGGATGAATAAATGAGGATATCAGAGCTGTGAATTAAATAGAGGAAGAGGTGAATGTGACGTCTTGTTTCATGCGGATTCTTTTTCAAGTATCATCATAAAGAGTCTGGCTGGTTGAAGCCTGTGTGTGTGTGGCCCATTCAGACATCATGCATCATCTTGGGCTTTCCAAACAAACCTGACCTGACTTGACGTGCGGCTAAAGGGACCACCGGCTGTGGCTTAGCCTCCATCACTTGCTAAGTGACATCAGGCAGGGACACTTCTCAAACTGCTGCCTCAGCCACTGGAGAGCACTTCAATCATGAGTTGAGTCCAGCCGAGTGGAAACAACATCCAGCATTCGCTTCGACGCTGTCATTTAAGATTATTTTACTGGTGATTTTGATTTTGACTAACTGACAATCCAGATATTAAAAAAATAAAAATCTGCAGAAAAATTGACTTTTTCATATACACCCTTTAATCATTTTAGCACATAAAATGTTTAAACAACAGTGTGCGAACACCCTTTGGTGAAGGGTGTGCAAAAAGCAAGCAAAGTGGTTGTTACTGTTACATGTCTGTGGTACTCAAATATGATTTAACTGTTATAATTTGACATATTTTTCTACCTTTTTGAAAAGAGAGGATACAGGAAACTCACTTTCTATACATTATGCAGTGCATGCATGTGTGACCTACTTAGTATGTATGATGGGCCTCTAAGTTTGTGTCTTTAATTAGTTGTTGTGGCTTTGATCATTTTAATAATTATGTGAAGACAATAGTGAGAAGAGCCTTCATTGGCTTCCAGTGCGTTTTAGAATTAAATTCAAAATGTTACTTTTGACTTGGCCAGACACTATTTGTCTGACCTATTGCAGCTTTATACGCCCTAGAGCCCTTCGATCAAGCAATCATCTGCTCCTTACATAAGCCTAGGATGGTTCATAGAGGAGATCGGGCATTTGCGGTTGTGGCACTGAAAATGTGGAATGATCTACCTCTCCACATTAGAAAGGCCCCAACTGTTACTCTTTTTAAATCGCATCTGAAAGCATATTTTTTTACTCTGGCTTTCGAAACTGTAGGAGAGTTACCAATTCTTTTATTCTAATTTTCTTTTAATTTTCTTACCTGTCGTTGTCGTCAATGTCATTACTTTGTACAGCACTTTGGTCAGCTCCCTATTGTTATTAAACGTGCTTTATAAATAAATAAATGAAATGAGAGGTTTTATATTGTTTTGTTATTGTTTGTTATTTTTGATTCATTTTGAAAGTTGAAGCCTGTGGCCTCATGGAAACATGCTGTTATCGTTGCACTGTGAGAAGTAAACCCAAAATGGTAATGACATTTGTGTTCATGTTCTTTTCACTCAATGCTGGGCCTGAAGACAAGATTATTGACATTTGAAGGCTGTAAAATGTAAACCCCCCCCCCCAGTCTGAATGTTTTTAGACCATGAATGGTCATCATCAGCTGTTATCAGCCTCGTGCATGTTGCCAGTCGGCGGCCTCCTCCACCTACCAGCACACTCAATAGGCCGTTATCACCTCATTCGCCGGTGGTCGATCAGACTCGCTGAGCATAACTGATGGAGCGTTGCCTGTTTGAAGCAGCAATAAAACTCAATGTAAAGTAGCAGGAGAAATATGAGCTGCTAACATCCAAACTGAGAATAAGTTATTGATCTATTATTTCCATTAATTTGATTTCAGCCTCACTGCAGCATCTTAAATGAGCAGAAATGTCAGATACAGGAAACGTGTGCTAACAATCACTGATTCCTTCCTGACCCTTTACACTTTGGTTTAAGATAAATCTTTAAATCGTACTCTGTTGGTGTCGACTCAGCAAACAATTTGGGGCTATAATTACATCCCCCCCACACTTAAGTGGGAAAATTATATCTGTTGTATGAGAGCTTATCAAACCAGACACTGCATTAGAAAATAAAACAGGAGTAAAGCATGCTACAGCTTATCAAAACATAGACACACACGCAGCAGCAGCACCCACAGAAGCAATCAAGCACAGGGCAACAAAACTCATACTGGCACTTGGTGCATAGACTCCAGCTTTACCACTTAAAAAGCAACAGAGAAGTGAAAAGCTCAGCAATGGCTGCAGTAATTTGCTGCAGTCTTTGGTTCAAAGAACACCACCAACAGCTCAATGCCATGCTGTGTGACATAGCATTTTTTTGGAAATGCATTCACACACTGTTTGTGCTGAGGATTAGCTGCTTATGAGGTGTAAAAAGTTCACGAGGAAGTTTGACTGACCTGATTATGAATGGGACACGAAATTTGTGGTTAATCCCCATACAGTGTTAAATATAGAAGTGGAGGAGCACTATGAGTGTTGCAGAGGCTAATTGGAAAAGATAAAGAGTCGCATGAATAATTGCAGTGAATTTGAGGTTACTTGTGTAGATGGTAACATCATTAGGCTCTGTTTGTACAAACGTAGTGATGCATTAGGTGGGTTTTATACCCCATAGAGCAGCTGGAAATGAAATAATTTTCGCTTCTTTGTTAGATACAACAGTCATAAGGCTCAAGTTAGGAGTTAGTAGACAGGAGAGGTCAGTTATAGGACACTCAAAGCTTTGCTCGTGTTTCAGTGTGACCAACACAGGAGGACTTTCTGCTTTAATCCAGGGGGTGGGTTTGGGATTGGGGGTGGGTGGGGTGTTTCTGAAATGCATCTGCCCACCTTTGTAGTCACTGTGAGGAGGGGCTTCCCTTCTGATGACGCCTTACTTGGTATCTCCTTCAGGACCATGGCAACAGTCTTATCTGCAGCCCTAGAGTCTTTCCCCTACAACAGTGAGATCAACAACGACTTGTGTCAGGACAGTTGGACAACTCAGTGCGACCCCATCCAGGGCATCTTACAGAGCATACTTTACCTTATGATGATGGACAAATACTACAGGCTGTCTGATAATCAACACATCAACTAAAGACATTTCCACAAGACCATGGCAATGAAACGAAGGTCACTGCACGATGTAGAGGGTTGACTGTGGACAGAGATGAGTATGGTTGTCCACAGCAGCACTTCTGCACACTGTGATGATTATAAAGAGCTCATTATACAGAGTGTAAGGCTTTGACTCCACTGTGGGTACAACTGCAAGTGCTAATATAAAAAGTTTGGTCTAAAAAAATTAAACTGTGTGATGCAATGATTTGTTTCTACACTATTTTCAATATTTCCTCTTCTCCTGCATATATTTAACTTGTTAAGGTGAAAACTACGAAAACTGAAGCCAGCGTGTTAAAATCTGGATACCCACGATAGTAAAATTATTATATAGTAAAAAAGACCAATCAAGGAAATCATCATTCATCATTTGGATGAGCACGGGGTGGCTGTAGCTCAGGAAGGTTGGTGGTTCAGTCCCTGGCTCCCACTAGTCTGCGTGCCAAATATCCTCGGACATTAACACCAAGTTGCTCTCTGATGCATCCATCGGTGTGTGAATGGTAATTAGAAAGCACTTGTTTGTGTTGTACAGAGCGCTTTGGGAGAGCAGAAAAGCGCTATACAAGAATCAGTCCATTTACCACTAACTAGAGTTGGGTGTCCCGAGACAACTTTTACATGGTCTTGGTCTTGTCTTGGTCTCGCTGTCTCGGTCTTGCTTTCTTAGATCGACATAGTTCTCGGGAGATTTGGAGACAACCGCCGGCAGAGCTGGGGGGGGGGGGCTTACTGAGCTTAAGCATCAGAAGCATTGGGTCTTTTGGAGTGTAATGTGTTTCATCGTTAGAAGTCTGACTGACAACTGTTGAGTGAATCAACAAACGGCAAAATGAAAAGCCGAACAACAACAATGCTGTTTCTTTAGAGAGTCTCAGCTTACATGTGTTTATTTCATATTTTCAGTTGTTTCCCTCCACGGCTAAATAAATCAGTAATGTCCTGATGAACACAACAATGGACATAAGGAGCTTCTTTCAAAGAAAAAACTGGTAGATGTTATTTTATATATTATGCTTTGTATGTTGTTCAGTATATTTATGCAAAACAAGAGGAATTTCAATACACAGCAGGATATTCACAGTTTAAACCAGATAGTTACACTTTATAGAGAAAACATAAAAACATTATTTTACTGTTAAACATCAATTTAGAGTAAACTTGTTTTGTTTTGGATAAATAAATATTGAAATATCTTTTGAATTAGTTAAATGTCAGAATAAAGAGAGAGAGAGCTTCTAGTTTAATCACTTTCATCAAATGTAGGAGCACATATACTCTAAGTTTATTGTTAATTAATAAGAAAACCAGACGATTCTATTCTGAGCTGAAGAAGCTTCTGATTGGTTCGTAGAGTCCATGTGAGTAAACTGGTGGCACAGCTGTGGATGCATATAAGGCAAAACACAGAGGCTGTTTCTGTGACATGGGAACATCAGGAGATGTCAACAAAACACCAGGAAGAGAATCGTGGAGCTCCATAAGTGTGGCTCACTTTGAATACAATTTGGTGCCATTTACAAGAAATACAAACAGTTTCTCTCTTTACTCTTAAAGTTAACAAAAATATGTTTTTATATTTATCTAAAAAATAAACATTTAGTCTGATTTGATGTTACAATTAAAAAAGTGTTTTTATCTGAAGAGTAAATATCTGGTTTCCACTGTAGATTTGATGATGTTGGTGTTTGGCTTGATTGTCAGCACAGAGAGAGAGAGAGAGGGAGAGAGAGAGAGAGAGAGAGAG